TCCCAGCAAGGCCGCTGACCTTGGGCGTGGGCTGCGCCAGGCTCACGAGGGTCTGCCGCTCGGGGGTGGCAGACACGGCGGCCAGCTCCAGGCCGTGCGGCTCCAGCTGCGTGACGGCGGTGAAGAAGGCGGGCGCGGGCAGGGCCGCCGAGGGGAAGTGCGCGGCCGCCCCGCTCTCCTCCTTGTGCCCGCGGAAGTACAGGGCCACCTGCTTGCGGATGGTGGACGTCCGAGGCCCCCGTTCGTGCTGCACGGCTGCAGAGACAGACGGACACACGCCCGGGTCAGAGTCTCGGGGCCACTCAGCCACCGCTGCGTGGCGGGGCCCGACGCCCCGTCGGGGCAGGGAGGCGGGGAGGCCACCCAGGGGCCAGGGGGCGTTAGGGAGGCGGGGGAGGGGAGCCCCGCACAGAGTATCCCACGAACGACACGCCTCGAGCGAGACTAGGTGTGTTCTCTGCCCACTCAGGGGTCCCCTCCGCACAGGGAGCCCCCTGGGAGGGAGTCGCGAGGTGTCCTGGTCCGCGACCAAGGGAGAGGGCGCGCCCGTCTCTGCACAGGCTTTTGCCACCTCGACCCCTGCCCACGGGGAAATGTGGGGATGCTGTTTGGCCTCCGAGGGCCGCAGAAGAAAAGGACCTGAGCCCAGGGACGCGGGGTCACGCGGGAGAGCCCCTCTGGGAGTGCGCTGGGGGAAGGCAGGGGAGAGGTGACAATTACCACCAACAGCTGAAACAAACGAATTAATTCAGGGCAATCTTCCGCTCTCCTAGCTTGACAACTTGTCAATACACAAGTTCAACAGGTTGGCCGCTCCCTTCTGCTTACTGCCCAGCAGAGGGAAGAGCTCTCCCCAGTGGGCACTGTGCCTCCAAGGGGTGCCACCTGCGCCTCCCCCGCCAGGGCAAAGCCCACTCAGCACCCTGTCCTGAGGCCCATTCCTGGCTCTTGGCCATTAACCCCCACCCCTGCCGGCCGGCCTGGGCACTCTCACCAGGCCGCCACCTGGCATCCTGAAGCCCTGGTTCTTGCTAAGAGCCTTCTGGGAGTTGGGTGTCCGAGGCACCCACAGGCATCTTCCAACCTCTCCAGCCCCTTTCTGTAAAACTGAGAGAAAGCCCTGGAAAAGCCCAGGTCACCACAATGGTGGCCCTGATTTTGGAATCTTGCAGCCAGGGACTCAAAATCCCCTGTGATCCTGTCTCTGACCTCCCTCTTCCCATATATCATCTCCTAGTTCCCACGATCTCCTCCCCCCCCANAACCTCTCCAGCCCCTTTCTGTAAAACTGAGAGAAAGCCCTGGAAAAGCCCAGGTCACCACAATGGTGGCCCTGATTTTGGAATCTTGCAGCCAGGGACTCAAAATCCCCTGTGATCCTGTCTCTGACCTCCCTCTTCCCATATATCATCTCCTAGTTCCCACGATCTCCTCCCCTCCCCAAAAAAACCTGTCCAGACTGCGAGGTCCTGCAGGAGGCTAACAGGCTTGGGGTGGCAACCAAGGGCTGTACGGAGAGGCGAAATGAGGAATTAAGATGCGAGGCAGGAAATAAGTGTTTGTCCCCAGCAGAATGGGGTCCCCCCCCAGCGCTGCCTTTTTGGGGGTGACTGTGGGGCATGGGCCTTGCCCTAGGGAGTTCAAGGGGGTCAGGAGGGGGCTCATGCTGAGAGATGGGAAGGATACGACAACCCTGAGGCCAATTTCCAGCATCCAGAAAGAAGTGCTCGGGAGATGGTTTACATGCATAGGAGTGCCATGTATTTTCTGTACATATAACTTACTTATTAATCAACGTTAGAGGAGTAAAAAGATGTACTGATTACCATCTTTGTTCATGTTGACTTCCAAACACTTCTTGAGCCGACACGCCCTGCACTGGTTTCTGTGCGTCTTGTCCACGGGGCAGCCTCCCTGGAACAGAGCGCAGGCAGACCGTCAGCGGTCCTCGGCCTTTAGGCTGGAGACTCAAAGCTGGC